CTGAAATTGATCAAATTAGCTTCAAGATGGAGAACACTAGAAAAATGCACCATAGAATTGTGACTGCAGGTGTTGCTCCAGTCAATAAAGATTGATATACATTTATACTTGTGTATGTATCGCTCAGAGAAGATTTGTTATTGAATTTTCAGCTGTTATTAAGTTTTTCTTAAATTTTTATTGATGCAAAAAGTTGTGCATATTTTTTATTCATTTGGGTTTGCACCATTTGCGTTTGCAATATTCCATGTTGTCTGTTGAATCACTTTATCTAAAAAACATTAAGGTGTTAGAGAATAAAACTAGGCCAGATTATTAGAGAATATTTCGAATAATAAATCTGGATGTTTGTTATATGACATTTGGTCGAGAAATGCGACTATTAATTTAACGATGAACTAAGTGAAGAATCAAACGAAGGAAAAAATTATAGTGCAAGAAGGCCAAAATTAAGGCATTTTCTTTGAACCCGCTCAAGCAGGCAGCCCGACCAGCGGGCATGAATGGTGTATGTTCATAATTTGAACGTTTTCTGTTTTTTTTCCCCCACATTTTTCATATTCTTTTTAAATATTTGAATTTCTGATTCAAATTGAGAAGTCACCGTTAAAAGGTTGTAATTTTTTGAAGAGTTACAAGGGAAATCTATAATTAAATTTAAAATCATTGGATTAAAGATATGAAATTCATATTCTCTTCTTTCTTCTTCCTTCAAATAAGTTTGCATATTTAAAATTCCATTATTTACGTATTTTGTACTTGTCGAGAAAAATTAGAAAAATTCTAATACTTTGGGAGTCCGGAAGTACGGAAATTTAGTATTCTATGTCATTATTTAATTGACATTTGGATTATTTATCCATGTTTGGAATCCAATTAAAAGTGAGTTCAAATGTCAATTAAATTGTAACAAAAAGTACCAAGTACTCATGCTCCGATGTTCTGAAAGTAATAGAATTTTTTTCATATTGGTGTCCCACGTTATTTTAGTTATGGCACAATGCGAACAACGTATTCGGTTCCGTTGTATCATTGAGGCATACTTGCTTACACCACTATGGTGGTGCAAATAAAGTTTTAAGAAAACGACTACGGGATTTGCCTTGGAGTCTAAAGTTCTTCATCTCATTTATTTTTTTACAATTCACTTTTTCTGCTGCTTGTTCTAATAATTGACAAATGCGAGTGCGTGATTTTCATGAACATATAACAAAAAGATTTGACGAATATGCAATCATAGCCTCATTGATTCTAATATCGCAGTATGATCACCTTCTACTTTCTGTTGATTCCTCTTACTTGTCAAATGTTAAATATGTGTTAAATATGTGATCCTAATTTATAGTATCTCATTTATAGGGACTTGTCCTGTAAATAGCTTGTATATATATATATATATATATGTATATTAGGGATTTAATAAGATATGAAAATAGAAAACATTTCTTCTCTCCTCTGTTCGATATCACCAAGCAAGCCATGAAATTAATTCTCGAAAGCATAATTTACAGGCGCACCCATTTGACCTTATCTTTTTTATTGATACACCTAAGAACGCCATATACAAGAATACACAAGCCCTTATGTTAGCTGACTGAATCACATCCAAGAAATATAAATATTAATCAGTCTGCATAGATGAGTAATCATATGCAAGAATTATAGAGATCAAGGCATAAAGAAATATATACATACAAATGCTTTTATACACATCTGCTCAGGATTCTTTATCTATTG